CTCAGGGCTGTTGTACATAGGGTCTCTATGAGTCCCAAGTGACTCAACAGCACATAACAACAACAATCAAACCCTTATCATATACTCTCCCTCAACATAATTTCTCTTTATTAATTTTTGCTCCCTGATCTCTCTTTCCTTATCCCTGTTAGACCTTCAAGTTTGAGTCTGAGCATAAGCCTTTCCTTAGCTTTTTATATCAGTGGATTTATACCATTTTTGTTCTTTTGTTACTGATTTATGTAGCTCAGCATGATGTGTTCTAGATTTGTCCATGTTGCACAGTACTGCACAGACTCATGATGTGTAACACTTTATTGTGTGAATACACCACATTTTCTGTTGTCAGTCTGTTTATGGACACTTGGGCTGTTTCCAACTCATTATTGTAAATCATACCACAATAAACGTGGGTGTCAGTATGTCAATTTGTGTTGCAGTTCTTTTTCTCCCCCCCCCTTATATATCTAGTAGTGGGATTGCTGGATCAAATAGATCACTGGCACTTTTAACATTTCTAAAAGTTTAATTTTGTTTTCATAACAATGCTTATGACAAAGGGAAGGCAATAATTAACACCATTTTACAAATGGGGGAAAAAGTACCAACACCGAAAACTGTCTTGATTACCACCAGCCATAGTGGTTTTTTTTGCTGGAGAAGTCACTGAAAATCCTGGTATTTTTGGGTCTGCAGGTCAGTTCTCTGACGTGGGAATTAGAGTTTCAGAAGATCAAATCACTGCCTATCCCCAGCCAAGAAATGCACTTTCCTCTGCAGCACAGAATGTACCAGCATGCAGCCTGACCATTAGAATTTGATTTATCTTCAAGACTTCAACATGATGATATAAGGCATATCTGAAAACCACCTCCCACACACCTCACATCCTATCACAGTTGATCTGAAACGTTCCCGTCTTTCCCCAATTATTTCTAACTGGTGTCTACATGTCTAATTTTAGTCAGTAAGCTTTTCTGGCCAGAGGCCACAGCTAATTGTGTGTTCGGTACAGTGAGTGACTTGAACCGTGACGAAGCTACAAGCATTCAAGGACAACTCAATGGGCACTAACTAACAGGTAGAAATGCTGAATGAACAAACTGGCTCTGTTTTGTTCTGATTTATCCACTGAAACAAACTCTATACTGACAAAATTTAATTTCCAAAAAATGAATTAAAAAATTTAGAAATAGCCTAAATTAGCAAAAGATATTTTTTAAAAAGGTTAGCTTTCTTTGAAAAATGTGCATAGAACACACATAATAAAATTATTCTATGAGCCATAAATTCTACTCCTAGGTTCATACTCCAAAATATTCTAAACCAAAGACTTATATATACATCAATGTTCATTGAAATACTACTCACATTACCCATAAAGTATAAACAAATGTCCATGAACAGATGAATGGATAAACAAAATGTGTCCAGCCAAGTTATGGGTACTGGTTGAGTTTTGACTAGAATCTTTATGGAAGCAGTTATCTTTCCTTCATGGTGGCTTCAAACCACTGACTGTTTAGTCAACAGCCAAGAACATTAATCAGTGTATCACCTGAAGTCTCTTTATTTTTAGCAGTCAAGAGTTCAACTTTTTTTATTGATTGTGTTTCAAAGGAGTTTAGTAAAAAGACCAAGTTCAGTTTTTCTTTCTTTCCACTTTCTTCTCCTTAGCTGAAGGAGCAGCAGTGGAGGAAGGGGTGGGTCCTCCAGCTGGTGTAGTTCTGGGTGCTAGGGCAAGTCCACAAGCAACCGACATTGCAGATGAGGCTCCCAATGTTGACATTTGCCAGGGCCTTTGCAAACAGACCGGGCAAGATGGGTTCATCACTGACACCAGCTGCCTTAATGAGAGCATTAATTTTATCTTCCATGATGGTCACCTCAGCATCGTGCAGGATGAGGGCTGAGTAGATGCAGGTGAACTCAGAGACAGAGGTCATGGTGTGGTGGTGCTAAGCTGAAGGATGCAGGACACTGGATGAAGTGAGGGCCTCACTTCAACACAGCCTGAGCTCCTCGGAAGAACCAAGCACCTTAGCAGCTACTGAGGAAAGGGCACCCGAGATCTTCTTGACGTACTTGCTATCATGTCCCATCATCAACCCACACAGACGACCCAGGCAATGTAATTCCCATTCCAGTGACTACATGCTTCCCATTCCCAACATTACCTGGAAGATGTCCATTAGGATCACAGCTGCCAGCAGCATGGTGATCATTTCAAAATGTCCTGTCTTCATTTTTCTCTTCAAAAGTAAAACAAGAAAAAGAAAGTAATTCAATTTTGTGAGCTTCAAGAAAAAACAGGTTTAGAGTGGAAAAGCAGGATGGTACTAAATATATTTTTTCATTGCTGGTGAGAATAGTTATCAAGAAAATTAAGAAATTATTATTATTGTATTTCACAGCTGGAAGGGCTATTAGGTTTTTCTAATGGTCCAACACCTTAATTGAAAAGAAGAAGAAATAAAAGCTCAGAGAAGTTATTAAATAATGTGCTCAAACAAAATCCATTTATTTCCATACTCTTTCATACATGTCCCACCACCTGTCAGCACTTTGTTGTTCTCTGGTGGCTTGGATGTTGCTATGATGCATAGAAACTATGCCAGTGGTACTTCAAATCTCATCACAGTAACTCATGGTGGACAGGTTTCAACAGAGATTCCCTACTAAGACTAGAAAGCAAGACCTTTTATCTATTTTAAAAAATTAGCTACTGCAAAGTTTAGCAGGGCAGCAAGCAATAAGTGTTAGAGAGGATGTGAAGAGTTGAGAACTCTCATACACTGTTGGTGGGATGGTATCATTCTGGAAGACAGTTTGGCATTTCCTCAAAAAGATGAACACACAAATTCCATATGACCCAGGTATTCCACTACTAGAAATATAACCCAAGGAAATAAGAACTGAGACACAAATGAAGATTTTTATACCAATGTTCATAGCAGCGTTATCCACCATTGCAAGAACATGGAAACTGCTCAAATGTCCAACCACAACTGAATGGATTGAGGCATTCTGGTACTTTCACGCATGGAATACTATGTAGCAATAAGGAGCAATGATTTTGAAAAATACTACTACATAACTTGGAAGAGACTGGATAGTTATTATGCTCAGTGAACGAATTAAGTCGCACAAGGACAAATACTGCACAAGACCATTATGGTAAAAAGAGCAGGATAACTAGTAAAACATGTATGGGGATGTAAGTGGGGAAGAGTTGGGAGCAGAGGAGTGAGGACGGGTAAGGGCAAAATTACAAGTTTTAACAATTTGGTGGGTGGAGGGAGAGAGTGAAAGAAATGGAAAGCATCTGGCAGGGACCTAAAAAGACTGGGTAATGATGGGCAAGGTCCAATGGTGATTTTATAAAACATAATGCATGGGAATAATTGTATGAAACACAACATAAAAACTTTGTAAGCAAATTGACAAAATAATTTTTTTAAAAATTAGCCACTGAAAATCTATAAATCACAACAGAATATTGTCCAACATAGTGCCGAAAGAAGAGCCCCACAGGCTGGAAGGCACTCAAAATACACAGTGGACACAACGATGGATTTGAGCAAACCATCAACACAGAGCAGAAGTGACAGCATTGCATTCTGTCGTACAATGGGTAGCCTGAAGTTTGAGCCAATTCAACAGTGGCTAACACCAAAAAACAAAAACAAACAAACAAACAAAAATACCCAAGGAGTTCTGGTGGCCTAGTGGTAAGGAGTTGAGGTGCCAACTGAAAGGCAGGTGATTTAAATCTACTAGCTGCTCTCTGGGAGAAAGATGGCCAATCTTTCACTGGTACTTTACAACCCCTAAAAACCCACTGGAGTGTCACCTATGAGTCGGTTCTGGTTTGACGACACATAACGTCACCACCAATGACAAAGAGACATGTAATTTCCCACCACTTGACTGCCAGGATAACAAACAGATTCACCCTAGAGAGGGTGAAGTCAGGCTGCTGCTTGGAAGGCAAGTATCCTGAGGCTTCATGTGACATTCTGGGCATGTTGCAAGGAGGTACTGGTCCTTAGAAGTGTGGAGGGGCAGAGAAAGAGATCATCGAAGAGATGGCTTGATAGAGACTGGGGTCGTGAGGATAGGTGTGTCAGAGACAGTAAAGTTGGCACAGGAAAGAGCAGGTCTCAGGGCTGTTGTACATAGGGTCACTATGGGTTGCAAGTGACTTGATGGCACATAACAACAACAATAACAACAGTAACTCTATTCTTAACTATAAATATTCCCTTCAGTTTGTGGAGGAAATAACACAATCAATCAGAAAAAAAACCCCAAAACCAAAAAACCAAATCTCAAATTGGTCCCTTAACTCCCAGGTCTAGGAATTCCTTTTATTCCCCTCACAACCAAGTCATGGTCTTTTGTGTGGAATGGAGAGATCACGTGTCCAGTAGTGATATAAATCAGTAGTAATCTGAGGGATCTTCCTTCCTCAAGATAGTCACAATTTATGGAAGTCCGAGGGTAAAACAACTTTCTGAAGGAGGGAATATGAAAATAAGAAGGAACTGAGTATGCAGCAGTTCTAACAAGATTATACAGCCCTCCTGGCCTAATGTCCAATAGTCATCTCAGTGTTTATGAAAAAGAAGGGGTAAAGAGAAGGCTAAGAAGTCCCCAAAGGCTGACGCTTCCCCAGAGCGATTCAAGTGAAGATTAGGGCAGGTTGGGCTATAGTTCTTTCCACATACAACCAATAAAGCCGACGTTACTGGAACGAAAACAAAATGTCTATTTTATCCTATCAATAGTCATAATCTTAGTGCTAAAAATGGGAACACATGACATACAGGGATTTCCCTTGTAGAAATGATTTTTGTCTCAGGTTCTTATTTGTTTCTGAAGCAGTTTCTTTCACTACAATTAGTAAAACGTAGTATCAAAATGCCATTTTTTTTTGTTAAACTTGCCTTTTCAAGAAAGACTTCAGAAGATTAGACCTGTCACAAGGGAATAGGTGCCAGGCAAACTGCAGTCAGGGTTTTCCTTAACAGTCTCCACTTCTGTAGTCTCAGTGTAAATAAAAAAAAATGTTTACCTGGCTTTTTTGCCTTTGGAGGAAGTTTATATGATGCTATGTCTCACACTGATTCTCCACTTCTCAGTGGTGAGCACGTCTTCCGGATGGGACGTTGTTGACAGTGAATGCTGAGAAGGGAATGCTTTTCTTTTTATAAACACCCCCAGCACCAGCTTGGCAGGAGCACATTACCCCACTTGTGTTCGGCTATTTATATCTGGCCCCCACACTATCCCTTGGAATCACTGCTGTTAACACATTAAATCTCCAAGAGGCTTGTAAAGCCATAGCAATTCCTTCTAACTAAAACAGCAGGCTCAGTTAGAGGCCTTCAGTTCAGGGTTCTCACAGAGAAATGACTTCCCATCCCTAACCCTTTGACTCTGAGATGTCAAGCTGAAGTGTGGCGTCTACTGCAACTGGATGGTTCACATAACTCGGGGTACTCGCTGTGTTAAATTACGCAGTGGGGATGACTTCATCATTCACTCAACAAGATTACTGTTTCAGGTACCAGGTCAGGTACAGAGGGACACAAGCAAGTTAAACAAAATACTGAAAGGTACTCACAATAAAAGAAAACACACAGATATGCTTACTTGGCCAGAATATAGTATGTGAGGACTCTCAAAATAGACAAATTCAGTGGGAATATATTAAAGGAGGAACAATTTAAAAATACCAACTACTATCTTTCTCATTTGAGAAAGGTGCACAAAGCAAATATAGCAGTTACATGAAACTGTAATTACAGTGTAATATAAAATAAAATGTGTATGAATGATCAAAAGAAAAGCCAGTGCTATTTATAAACTTTCAATCAAATTATAAAATAAATCAGGGAAAAAACATAAAAAGATATTGGTTGCAACACTGAAGCACACTTAGGGTTCCTTGACTATAGGGTTTTTTTTTAAAACACAACAACCTTGTAACGTCCTAGATTTTTCAAAATGTATCACCAGAATGCAGTTATAAAAACTCAAGACTGAAAACCACCCAATAATATGCACAGTTGTGATATATTCCAATACAACAGAATGTCACATAACACTGAAAAAGAACAAACCATACAGTCGTTGTGGTGTTATCCTAAAAGTCTGGCCTTTTGTAGCCATTGGTTAGCCCTCTCTGAGCTTCAGCTCTCTTAACTGCAGGCACATGGTCTTGCAAATCAGCATTAGCTGTGGGACTAAACTAATGTTTCCCACACTGAACAGCAAAGACTTGAGGCGATAAAGACCTGAGGGAAGACTTGAAGACCCTAGAGAGCACGAGACCCTGGTGGTGGAGAGACAGGCATTTTTATGGAGAAACTGTGGCAAGGTGTGACCTGAGGCTTCTTGCATTTGTGCTGGCCCATTATTGGGATTTTGCTGTTCTTGAAGGAGAAGTTGCTTGCTGAATTGAAACCAGAGCCTTGACTGAGAAGTTTCTTGAACTGTTGGGCTAAAACCTGGACTTACTTTGGGTGATACTGTGATATTCTTTACCTCCTACACTCTCCAACTTCCTTCTCTAACAACCCCCCCCCCCGCCCCCGTTGGTACTATACCTGTGAGTCAACAAGGAATAAATGAACCTCTGGTGCTGGGCTCTAGAGGCACCAAGGGGCTCAGCTCCTGATCTTTCTTCTCTGGAGCGGTGAAGAGCTGTGTGATTCTCATTCTCTCTGGTCCTTTCAGAGAGATGCTTATGGCGCCATGCTCCCAAGCCCTGCTTCCTCCAATTTAGACAGCTATATATAATAAACCTAATGGAGAAATCTTATAAACAAAATTTCAAGTGAAAGAAGCCAGAAACACACCCTACAATTCAATATATATAGAAGACAAAGTCAGGCAAAACAAATCTATGGATTCTAAGTCAGAACAGTGGTCACCCTGGGAGGGGAGCACTGAATGGAAGGTACAAAGCAGTCACCTGGCATGCTCCTTAAAGTCTGGGTTTTATTTCCTTTTTTTTTTTAGTTGCATGATAGTTACAGTAATATAATATAGTCAGTTTGTGAAAATGTATAAAGCTATATACTGATTATACTGATGTAAGTATGTGTAAAAATGTTTATTTTGTTGAGATACAATCATATTTACAAATATCACCTCTATTCATTAAATCCTTCTAAAACTGCTTCTTATCTCTTACTAATCACTGCCTAGGTAATCAAACTAAGACAAAAATAGACTC